GCTTCACTTCAATAATCTCTCCCTCATATACATTAATAAAATTTTTTTTTAAATCTCATTCAGTTAACCATCTATTTGTTGGCTTTAACCGATATGGCCTATTTAAAATTTTTTTTTTAACTCACTGTGAGCCACCCAGTTGTTAGATGACACCACTCTACCCACACTGTTACTGTACCCCATTCTGTTCCACAGCGTTATTAACTTTCCAGGCCCTAGCTTTTATTAGTTAAAAATAACAACTTATTTAGCATACAATGAGCTTGATTTTGAAATAGTTTATATATGTGTAAATGAAGAAAGAACGTCTGAATGTTATGCTTCATATCCACTAGTCTCTCCCTCTCACAATTGAACATTCAAATATTTGTATCAAGATTTTTTAAATACATACAAATGTAATAATAATTGCAACATCATGATGTGCCTGAAAGTGTGGAATGTGATGTAACGTGATTTGTGAACAACAACATAACACATTTAATGGTACTAGGCATGAAAGCAGCTTACAGACATCTGTTAGTCCCAGCAACAACAAATGGCTATAGTTTCCTAGAAGTTCCCAGAAGAAAACAAACTGACAGAGTGATTTACTGACATCTGTTAGTCCCAGCAACAACAACTGGCTATAGTTTCCTAGAAGTTCCCAGAAGAAAACATACTGACAGAGTGATTTACTGACATCTGTTAGTCCCAGCAACAACAACTGGCTATAGTTTCCTAGAAGTTCCCAGAAGAAAACATACTGATAGAGTGATTTACTGACATCTGTTAGTCCCAGCAACAACAACAGACTATAGTTTCCTAGAAGTTCCCAGAAGAAAACATACTGATAGAGTGATTTACTGACATTTGGAAATCAGAAGCGTCTCTATAATTTCATTCTGCCAGTTTCAGTCACATTTTCTAGTGATATCTGAAAAATGTTAATGTTTTACAGCTTATTCGACTTCTAATTCCAAGTCCATTATGGCGCTAACAGCAAATTTGGGTCATTAGAGTGTTCAGGTAATTTATATATACGTGAACCGGTGTAAGAATGTTTAAAATGATTCTGCACTCTTAATACGACAAGCACAGAAGATTAAAAAAAAAATAAAATTAGTGGTCCCGCAGCAAATACTGTCACTGTGGCATGAAGTTTTTTTTTGCCTTTCCAGGCTCATCCTTACTGGCACAATCAATCAATCTTCATCAGGCACTTAAGGCAGAGAAAAACATCACCACTGAATTCTATCCTGAGCCATTCTCTCTATCTCCAGTTTTGTCCTTTGCGTAGCTCTGAGTTCAGCCTCAAAGTGCCTCTGGGCCGGCCTCTTCCTCGCTGTCCTTGTGTCCATTGGATTGCCTGTCTCGGCCGTCTCTCTTTCTTCAATCTGAGGATGTGTCCAATCCACCACCATCTTCGTTTTTTTAATTTCTAAATTTACATCTTCTAAGTCTGTAATCTAGAATTACTGATTATATCTTCCCATGTAAACCCCAACAATCTTACTGGCACAGGACTGCAGTTACCCTGGCTTGTAGAGCCCTTTTGGCTGCCCAAATCTGAATTTTTTTTGAGGTTGAACTGGGTATCTGCCTTGTTGGTGTGCCGTCCACACTGAGACTTTTAAATGTTAGGATGGCATGATACACTGACTGATCAATAAATGGTCTTCCCTGTTAATATTTACGAGGCTGGGTCAACCACAGAGCAGTAATGGGAGGGAGCAACAACAATTATCTTGCCTCTGTTGGGATTTTTTCTTCTTAGCATTCACCGGCTGTAAACTGCAGTGGAAAGTTCTCGTTCACTTGTTTCTAGTATTGTTCCAGAACTTTATTGCGTGTACATGTTTTACAGATCTCTCTTATCAGTGTGCAGACTGTTGGTTGCTCACCTTTCAGGCAGACGCACAAGGAAACAGCCCCAATCAGTCGACCTTTACAACATGCTTCTTAGGGAGGCAGTTGGTCTATCAAAGCCCCCCCCCCCCTCCCTCACAATGGGACTCTGGTGGAACCTACACTGGGAGTTTGAATCTGGACCATTATCTTGGCAGACATGTATTCTAACCACTAGACCATCATTGCCTCAGATCAAAGTAACAAAGGTACATCTATGAATGCAATTAAATTAGGTTTTTTTGGAGGTCTGTTTCACAGTTGACCTTGTTTGCTTGTTAGGTGGCAGTGTGTATACCCCCCCCCCCCTTTCCCCAGAAGTGGGTATGTTCCAACACACCCCCCCCCCCAAATGAACTGGATACCACATGGAAAATAATTGATCTAATCGGTACCATCTGTACAAACACATTTCCTCACAATTACCTTTTTTTTAAAACCTGAGCAGAAAAATAATTCTGCTGACAATCAATAAACATTTAAGATCTTGGGAAGGCATGAGCCGCTGGTACAGCTTAACCAAAGTTACAATCATTATTACATGTTTAGTTTACATACTGAACTCACTGGAGTTGAAACAAGAAATCACAGCAGACAATAACACTAAATAATGCTGTTCATTAATGCTTATCTCATTTTCAAATTAAATTATGTAATTTCTCTGCATAAATATACAATAAGAAATTGTATGGATTAAAAAGAGGACAATCAAACAACAAAGTCAAATGCAGCGATGACAAATGAAGTGATACTGTGTCATAAATTATTGGAGAATTTGGTTAAATATAAGTATAGACATCAATCAGTATATAATTGAAATATTTATACTAATATAATGAAATATATATATATATATATATTTTAAAACAGATAATATATATGACAAATACAGAGAATTATATATAGATATATTTAAAAAAAGATAAATAACAAGGATGTCAGAACTGCTGATTCTGTGTTACTTGTGCAATTATTGTATTTTTATCTGACAAAAGATGGGAGATTAACTGGAAGAAACACAGAAGTGATGTAACAAGAAACAACTGTACACTTCAAAATCGTATTAAAACATCCTTAAACAAAAATCAGCCAAATATGAAAGCAGTGATACTGTTTCATTATAGATTGGAAGATCCTAACCACTGCATGTGTTCTCTTATTTTCTTACATTTGGATAAAGCACACTGAAGAAAGCTGGCTGCTCCAATGGCAACTTCCACTGCGTAATTAGTCTAGCTATACACTAATATAATTTCATAACGATTATGTATCCCTTAAAAAGCTTCAAGAACTAAAACAACTAAGGTTGTACAGGAGGTCTTCATGCCAGCTGGGCAAAGCAATTACAAAATTTGCACGTGCGGGTCCCCCCCCCCCCAAGCATCCTTAAAATGGTGACTAGTTCAGGGTTTGATGTGTTGGGTCGAAAGGTGAAGATATTACAGCGTAGCTGTAAATGACAATATAACTAACTACCTTTTTTAGGGTGAACAAAGCAGAAGTAGATGATGATGACAGATTAGTGGCTTGAACAAAAATAATCAACAATCCAAAGTCTAAAGGTTTAACAAACAAACAAAAAATGGAAATCAAGACTCCAATCTCTTTCTGAGCATCACAGTACCATATAGTATATTATGTTCCTGCTCGAATCTATTTAAACCACACATACAAAAAAGCCAAGAGATGCTAGGGTTGTTTTTGCAACCTCTTGCAAAGGATATGCAACTAACCATCTAAACTCCCACCAACCATTTAGCATGTGTAGTTACTGCACGAGGGAGCCAATCTAGAAAAAGCTTACATTATTTCTTGATAAGTGCTTTAACTAAGTACTTTTATAATATTCTATTATTTCTACATCTTTCTTTGGCAGCATTTAAAGGTTTTTGCTCACCGACGTGGGATTCAAGGTAGGCCATTCCTAAAATGGTTACCCGGAGAAAACATTTATAGGAACTTAAGTACAGTCAGCATATAAATATGTTCTCTTTAGTCCTTTGTACTGATCCAGCTTATTGTAGTAAACCAATCAGCTTGTGTGAAATAAAGAGATTACAATTTAGACTGTTTTTGTAAAAGCGTTCTGTGATTGTTTCCCCTCTGATCGATCTGGGATTACCAGCATATTTTGCTTGAAATTATTACTTTAAGGAAGAAGTAAAGTCAGTCAGCACATATTGACAGCAGTAATAAGTGCCAATGGGTCTAAATATGTGACCACCATTTACCAACAAATTCCTAATGGCATGAAAAAGGAGTTATTTACAACTTCAGATAAGAGAGAAGAGACTGTCAGAATCAAAGTAAGACAGCAGTATAGTGGCTAGCATATCAGCCAAGTGATCATGGCATTGAATCCCACTCTACGTGGGAATTTTAACCAGACCTACGTCCCAGGTTGACCCAGTCAACAACATGTTGCTGAAAATGTTCTGGGAAGTCAAGGACACCTAACACACATCGGCTAGTCTATAATTATGCAGCAATCTGCAACACACAACTTATACGCCCAAAGGCTCAAAAAAGAAGGGGTCCTTAAATATTAAACAATAGAAAGGTCAACAGAAAAAAATTCTATACCCACACATTTTCAAAATGTAAATATTAGACAGACTGTCTACTTAGAATTGACCATACTGTTAAACAAACAAATCCATGATCAAATGGCACCATATAAAAAAAGAAGAATTTTATACTATGAGCGCTTTCATGGGCTTGGATTTTGGAAACATGGGTGTGTATGCTTGGGGAAATTCTCACGCTCCTTTGCATAATATTTTCTCATCACAGTCCATTGTAAAGACTTGACTTATCGCCTGTTCTCTTGCCTCGTGTACTTTTGTACCCAATGTGCTTTTAATGTCCTCTTTTCATCGTTGTGTGACAAATATGCTTCCCCTGCTTCCCTAACCATAATGATCTCTCTGTAATCAATGACTGACATATTCACACGGCAATTGGTTCTGCCAGTTTAATTATTGTGCCTTTTCCACCACATAAATGCAGTTAATATTTATAAACCAAATCACAGCCTTTAATATAAAAGCAAAGCTTTCCTGGCAACACTGTTTGCATTGCACACATACACCCACAAGTTTAATTCTATGACATCAAAAATCATGATCGGCTTTCAACACGAGTTCAGTGATTTGCTTCAAGAGGCTCGATGCACTCTGAGTGTTTTCAGATTCTTCAACCAGTTCAGAGTTTTCTGGGTGATCGTGAGAAAAGGTAAACGTGGTGCCATCATCTCCCCACTCGCTGTCATCGTTCAAACTGGACATAGATCCCATATAGCTTGCTGATCCCAGGGAGTATTCCGAACCAGTTTCTGAATATCGATCTGCAACAGTATTCTTGAAGTCCTGGACAGCATCGTGCAATGACAGAAGCTGACAAAATAATGAAATATCAAGGTATCGAAGATCTTTCTGTGGATTAGAAAATGAAAACAATTGTGACAGTACTCTGTCCGTTCATTTAAGACAAAAGTGAGCAGACAAATTAAAATAGTACTACTGATGGGTGGAAGATGTCTGCCTCTACCAAGATTTAATTATGTGTGCGTGACATGAAATATACCAGCATTGAGGTGAATTCACAGGATATGGTGGGGAATATTCAGGTGTGTGGGGTAATGAGCAGGCCGATAAGAGTGGCTGCTGCTCCTCTACACTGTGAGCTACTTTATGATAAAGCAGATATGGTGAAGGCTTTCTGGAAACAGGTGGACAGTGAAGAGTTCTATACCTTGTGGGAATGAGCAGTGGGGTGGATGCATGGGGGTTGCAATATACTCAATGGAGCGCCATCTAGTCTATATGATTTTCATTGTGCAGGTAAAAAGACAGGTGGACTTTTAATCGGCTGCAGTCTGCACTATCAGTATGGGAACTTTTCTTTGCCTTTTGAGAAGAGGATAGAGCACATGTAGGAATACCTTGAGTAGTAAGCAATTGTCATTCCCTAGGAACCATGGGACTGTGCCACTGGTTTTGGGAGCAGTGTCTGCTATGATGACTGTAGAGTATAACACCTCAGTGACAGTCTTAGCCACATAAACATTTGATACTCTAGTAGGAGGCCAGTCTTCTCTCACATAAAACATTGATACTCTATTAGGAGGCTAGTCTTCTCTCACATAAAACGTTGATACTCTAGTAGAAGGCCAGTCTTCTCTCACATAAAACGTGGATACTCTATTAGGAGGCCAGTCATCTCTCACATAATATGTTGATACTCTAGTAGAAGGCCAGTCTTCTCTCACATAAAACGTTGATACTCTAGGAGACCAGTCTTCTCTCACATAAAACATTGATACTCTAGTAGGAGGCCAGTCTTCTCTCACATAAAACGTTGATACTCTAGTAGAAGGCCAGTCTTCTCTCACATAAAATGTGGATACTCTATTAGGAGGCAGTCATCTCTCACATAATATGTTGATACTCTAGTAGGAGGCCAGTCTTCTCTCACATAATATGTTGATACTCTAGTAGAAGGCCAGTCTTCTCTCACATAAAACGTTGATACTCTATTAGGAGGCCAGTCTTCTCTCACATAAAACATTGATACTCTAGGAGACCAGTCTTTTCTCACATAAAACATTGATACTCTAGTAGGAGGCCAGTCTTCTCTCACATAAAACGTTGATACTCTAGTAGAAGGCCAGTCTTCTCTCACATAAAATGTGGATACTCTATTAGGAGGCCAGTCATCTCTCACATAATATGTTGATACTCTAGTAGGAGGCCAGTCTTCTCTCACATAAAACATTGATACTCTATTAGGAGGCCAGTCTTCTCTCACATAAAACATTGATACTCTAGTGGGAGGCCAGTCTTCTCTCACATAAAACGTTGATACTCTAGTAGGAGGCCAGTCATCTCTCACATAATCTGTTCATACTCTATTAGGAGGCCAGTCATCTCTCACATAATATGATGATACTTTAGTAAGAGGCCAGTCTTCTCTCACATAATATGTTGATACTCTAGTAAGAGGTCAGTCTTCTCTCACATAATATGTTGATACTCTAGTAGAAGGCCAGTCTTCTCTCACATAATATGTTGATACTCTAGTAGGAGGCCAGTCTTCTATCACATAATATGTTGATACTCTAGTAAGAGGTCAGTCTTCTCTCACATAAAACGTCCATCTCTCTCTTATTAGGAGGCAGTCATTCTCTCATGATACTTTAGTAAAGAGGCCAGTCTCTCTTGATACTCTAGTAGAAGGCCATCTTCTCTCACATAATATGTTGATACTCTAGTCGGAGGCCAGTCTTCTCTCACATAAAACGTTGATACTTTATTAGGAGGCCAGTCTTCTCTCACATAAAACGTTGATACTTTATTAGGAGGCCAGTCTTCTCTCAGATATCTCTTCTCTATAGCTTGCTGCATTTCACCTCTTGTAAACTGCACAGTCCTTTCACTGTCTGCCTCCAAAGAAGTCGGACTGCAGCTGATCTCTCTCTAGTATCTATCAGTGTTGTTATCTTTCAGGTCGCATTTGCGTAAGTATTTATAGCATAGCCTTGGCTTTCCTGCATGTCTTCTCCCTGTTGTCAGTTCACCATGCTGGATATCTACTGAATGCGACCATCCTCTATGCGAGAGACATGTCCCAACCAGAGCAGATGTCTTTTTCTTCAGGAGAAATCAGAAAGTACAATGCTGGCATTCCTGCCTTTTCGAGTATACATTGCCTGGGAACCTAGAGTGCGGTAATGTGGATTATTGACTCTCCTTCGAACTAGGTCCCCATATTATGGTGGCCAAACACATACCCTAACAGGGCCTCAGTCATGTGTAAATGCGGAGTGCCTGCCGAGGAACAAATTGCAGCAAAACTAGGATTGCCTCAGAATAACGGGTCAATATTATCGAGGGCAAACAAATACTCTAACAGAGTCTCAGCGATATATTAATTGCGAACCTGTTTTTGCGACTATTCCGCACCGCCGACAGTGTTCCCCGCGCCGCTATGCGCAGCACGGATGGGGGTCTAAACTAGATGGCTGGGACTCACGAGCAAATAAATTGGAGGAAGTTGCAGGAGATGTGGTAGCTGCTACTTGTGAGTCCCAGCCATCTAGTTTAGCCCCATCCGCTTCGGATATGCTTGGCGGTAAGTTTAATTGGAAGAACATTATCGCTAACCTGCGCCGGAGCGCGAGGTCTCCCCGCCGTGTCGCTATTATCATGTGTATTGGATACCGTCTCATTGTGGAGTGCCTGGAAATGAGAAAGCTAATTAACTGGCAGGGAAAGGTGCGACAAAAGTGCAGCCGGATGTATCAGTCACATACCACCAAAAGAAAAGAATCATTAAATTGATCAGGAAACCACCAGCCCCAGCACAAGACGACTTTTTTATTATGGACAGACCAGAACAAGTCATTATCTTCCGCCTCAGAACAGGGCACAACGAACTACGTAACCATATGTACACAAAATTCAAGATAGGTGAATCAGCCATGTGCACCTGTGGAAAGGTGCCCTAGACAGCAGAGCATGTACTCCAGGACTGCACCGAATTTGACATATTAAGGCAAACCTTTTGGCCAGAAAGAACAACAGTGGAATGTAAACTCTATAGACCACTGAATGAACTAACAACGACAGTGATATTTATACAAGAGACAAAATTGCTGATATGGACAACTTATTTCAGTCAACCGAAAGAAGAAGATGTGTATTGTTGCGTTTCTCGAAATTTTCAACAGACAGTAATCCTAGTTTTGCCGCGATGTGTTTGTAGGAGGAAGTCCGCATTTTACACACAACTAAGGCCCTGTTAGGGTTTTTGTTTGGCCGCCATAATATGGGAACGAAGTTCGGAGGAGAGCCGAATTATTTATTCATAGTCATTTCCTCAATCCATCCTTTTATAATTTTAGTGAGTCCCCTGTTCAATTCTCCTCATGATATACTCAGTACAGCTTTTTTTTTTCTTGCATGGTTTTTTTTCTGACAGTACTGCCATTTTTCAGGTCTAACTATTTCCAGACTGATGTATAGTAAAACAGTACAGTAATTTAGATACTTCGTGGTCAATCTGCAGCTTACTGTTATAGTTATAGAAAAAAGGGGGCGGGGCGCCCACAAGCTGATTCAATTAATACAAGTGGGGTTGAAACTTACCATCTCCCTTTGCAATTTCTGAAGCGATGTTTGCAATTTTAAAAAGGGATTCCTCTGCTCTGGGCTGACATCGCTGTTTTCAACGATTGGAACTGACTGGTGAGGCGACAAATTCCGTTGGTTGAAACGAGCGATCTGGCTCTTTACAGTCGACAGACTTCCAGTATTGATCAGTCCTTCACTGTCCGGATTGATATGGTTCACACATGACAAACTGCTGCGAGTACCATTCATGATATAGTGATCAAAATCATCCAATGATTCTGATTTGGCGAATCCTTCCGTTTTCCCGGAGCTTCTAGACAGCGATGAAGAAATGTGACTTCGTAAACTCCGAGGCTCCCCATCTGAGGAGACAACCAGGTGACTGAAACACTGGGGAAGTGGAGGAAAATCCGGCAAGTGCTGCATATCAGAACTAGTTATATCAGTCAGTCCAGTGAACCACTATTTAGCCAGCTGTATCCACGTATAAACATCTTATGATACATCCTAATTTTCGAAATAAGTGAAGGAAAACACCAGCAACTGTGAGGCGGAAGTTACTTCTGGCGACGGCAGACGACCAAACAGTGGCCAGGATTTTCTGCTTCCGGATTCCATATGATTTAATTGTATATGTATGTAAAATACAGAATCATCATCATCATCAGGTGCCTTGCCGACTGGCGTGGGCGATCATGCCTCTCCATAATCCGCGATCTCCTGCAGCATGTATCAGTTCGTGTGCCGACACACCTCCATGCCATGCAACAAGACTGTCAAGCATCTTCTCTCGTTGTCTTCCTCTATCCCTCCTTCCACATATCTTTCCAGTGGTCACAACATGTTCTATTTTCCCTCTTTTCATAACATGGCCGAAAAATGATGACTGTTCCTTCTGATATCTGTGATAAGTTGTCTTCGGGCTTCCGCCTCTTTCAAAACCTCTTGGTTGCTATTTTTGGCTGTCCAAGGTATTCTAAGCATTCTTCTGTAAAACCACATCTCCGAGGCCTCCAGAAATTGTTTGGCCTGCCTACCGATTGTCCAGGATTCACAGCCATATGTTAAAACTGGATGTATGTAGCAAGCAAGAATTCTTTTTCTAACTCTCAATGATAAAGATATATTGCACAAGATGTTTTTCATTTTATAAAATGCAGTTTTTGCCTGTCCTATTCTATTTCTTATCTCGGTTATGTATCTTCCATCTGATGATATCCATGTGCCCAGATACTTAAATTTCTGTATTTGTCCTAAAATAACACCATCAACTTTTCGTTTCTTTGATACCACCATTACTTCTGTGTTCCCATTATTCAAACTGAGGCCCATTCTTCCACTTTCTAACACCACAATGTCTATCATTTCCTGTAGTTCTTTCTGACTTGTTGCTATCAAGACTGTGTCATCAGCATAGCGTAAATTGTTTATATTGTGCCCACCAACCACAATTCCGGGCATACCAATTAAAGCTCTCATTAAATATTCACTGTATATTGAAAACAAATCAGGCGACAGTACACATCCTTGTCGTACCCCCCTTTCATGCTTTGAAATGTACCTAAACAGTTGTTAATATATGTTTTATGTATGTGCAAAATAATGAATACCGTCTTTTAGTCGTTAAAGTTCCTAAAGCACGTCGTAAAATGTGACTGACTAAGGATTTTCTGAAAGATGCGTTGAGTCGAAAATCGCAGGCTTCTTCTCCTTCTTCTTCGATGCTCCTGTCAGAAAACTTATGCCAGGAGGCCGGTAGCCTTTATGGAAGCTTTCAAGCAGTCCATATCTTCTCGTGTGGCATACATTTTTGTCTTAATTGAACTTGGAACAGACCAGTTTACAGTGTTGAAGCACATGCTCAGCATTTTCGAGTGTCAAGTTGCAGGGGCACGTCTCCATGTTTCCTACACCGGAAAATGTGAACATATGTTGACGAAGTCTGTTGTGCCCTGTCCTTAGTCTTAATAGAGTACACAGCATCTCTAGAGAGGCGATAAAGCGAATCTCGAGGATAGAATGTGATGTATGTATCGAACCACCTTTCTTAGAATTAGATAGTACTAATGTCTTAGTATCTTGGTGGGTTAGGTCACTGTTTGGTTGTACCATGTCACTGCTCTTTCTAGCCAAACTGTCCTCAATTGCATTGCCTCCCAAGCCACAGAGACCTAGAATCCACTGTACTACAGATTGTTATACTGAAGAATCTAGGAGAATCAGCGGTTGCGTCAAGTCTACAAACTGAGTATCATTTAGGTTAACAACTGCAAAAGTACCATTCTGCTATATTTGTTGTGCTGTTGTCCATTCAGGAAAGAACATGTCACCATAATTGCATCTGCTCTGTAGTTGGAGGAATATGAACCTGTTGGTATAGCTTGGTTGATTTTTTAACCATTTGGGCATTCTAAATATATTCCTCCTTACCGATCTCTTACTGCTCTCTTATCGGAACCATCTATATACACTCTAATCAAATTCTGTTTAATCTCTCCTTTTGTAACTGACTTCATATCAGTGCTGCTCATTGATAATTTGGAGGAGATCCCTAATACCGTGGTTCTGACTGTCGGCGCAGTGGTGGTAAAGTTTCAGAGGAACATTTAGAACTATGGGAGAGAGTTTAGAGTCAGCGAGCTTGGCATTTGCGTTTTTAATGTAACATGTTTAGTCTAACCCTCTGGGTTTTGTGCAGTCGGCTGTGCATAGGTTGTTCTTTCAAAAGGCGGCATTTGCCCCAGGCAGCTATCCCATATTCTAGTGTTGACCTCTGTATAGGTCCTCTTGAGGACACTGAGGTTGCCCCCCCCCCCCCCCCCCCTATCTGTTCCAGTTAACATTCACATCAGTTGGGTTCTCTTGAGTCCCTTGCTTTGATTTTTTTCTATCTTTTCTCCATGTGAGTCTTGTGTCAAAGGTTACTCCTAAATACGATGGTGAGTCATGTTTCAGTACCCGAATGCCATATTTAAGCGAAGCTTATTGGGGTTTGGTGGAAAGACTGAAAATGGTGTGTGTTGTTTTGGTCCCATTTACAGGTCTGCAGCAACTATTGGACCACTTCTCTTGACATCCGATATATTCTTGAAGCGTTGTCTGTGCTGCGTCAATCGCAGTTATCACAGCCTAGCTGGAAACCCCAATACAACTCTTATAAAAACGAAAGAAAAATTACAACACAATATCCTGTTCAACCCATCTGGTTTATAATTAGGATATATGGTCTTTTTTTCTTCTTTTTTTTTCAACATTATGTATTTATGCTTATCCACTTTCTCGTTTACATAATATTGCACAACTTATGTGTTAATTGTAATGTACTAAAGACTCGAGTTTTTTCATCATTGTTTATTTTAAGGTCATCGTCCCCTTAGCATGTTTCTGAATGTGTTTGCGCGGACCATTCATGTTCTGTTCATGCTGATGAAGCATTTAGGGGGCCACGTTAGCGCAATCGATAGGAGACTCGCTTTCAAATACCGCTGCAGCCCACGTCGGTGTTTGAGACCGGGCGGTTCCCAGGGTTCACCCAACCTCTATGTAAAAGGCACCAGAATTAACACTCTGGGGTAAATGGCGAAACGTCGCTGTAGCTACGAAGTTGCGTGCGGATGGCGACACAGGCGGAGAGTTTCTAATCATCTGTCCGTACTGGTGGCAGAGCACTTATGGTTTATAACCGTGTGCAGCACCTGGGTGTAACCAGAGGGTCTGGCCGGCTCACTACACTCAAGAGGAAAGGCAAGACAGACTTTTAACCAGATTGTGACTGGAACCATCAGTACTGGAAATCTGCGTTGGCTGCTGAAGATGAAGACGGAGCATGCGTGGGAATGCCCCGAGTGCTATGATGTCAATTCTTGACTCAACTCAACTCATTCTCCGGGCTATGCCGGCGTGGTGGGTAATGAACTAGATTGGCTGGATCTGCACCACTGGGTGGTGAGTTGATATATGACAAGGCAGATGTGGTCAAGGCCCTTTGGGAACAAGCTACGGAATCAGTAGAGAAACAAGATTATTATGGCCTGGAGAGAATAAGGTACCTGAGTGTGACTAGAGGGTCTTGCCGGCTCACTACACTCAGAGAAAAGGCAAGATAGACATATAACCAGATTGTGACCCATACCATCAGTACTGGAACTCTGCGCTAGATGCTGAAGATGAGGGCGGAGCATGCATGGGAATGCCTTGAGAGTTGTGATGTCAATTCTTGACTCAACCGTGTGAAATGACGCTGGTTCACATCTTTTGACTTTACCTTTATCTTGGTCTCATTTTGACAGTGCACCAATTTAATTCTGATAGTTGCCAGGAGCCGTAATTACAAATGCGCCAACCAAGAGAGACAACTCAGTCTTTGAAGAAAGCACACAATCAACATGCGCCAATTTCAGTGCAGGGTTGTTTGCACTTGGCAAGCTCCCAAATGGCTCTGCCCAATGATGATGAAGCGACTGTGAGCTCTTCGTTATCCGCCGGCTGTAAGCTCCAGCAGAAAGTCCTGGTTGTTCGTCCGTTTGTACTTTGGTTTTGTGCCAGGGCCTGAGTTTTGCATGAACATCCGTTTTACTGGCTTATTTATGTGCCGTTCGTTGTTCCTTGCCGCTCGGGCAGTTGCACTCCAACTTCAAAGGACGCCCCCAATTAGTCGACTTCTACGACATGCTTGTTAGGAAGGCAGTGGGTCTATTCTTGTATGTATGTAGGCCTATGTGTATATTTGAGTGTTTAGGTTTCCCTGTGTATGTATGACCATATAAGGGTATGTGTACGGGTGTATTTTTGAGGGAGTATGATTGTATGGATAACAGAAGACCAAGCAAGTGTCAGACCAAAACGGTCACGCGCAGAGCACATCCTCATACTCTGAGTAATCATTGAAGAATCGGGTAGCATTTCAGTCGCAGTTAATCAACTTTGGCGACTTCCCTAAAAAAACTGTCCACAGTATCTCACCGTTCTATACTTTGGAAAGTACTTAAAATCTATGGGTTTCCCTACAAAATTCACCAGTGTCATCATACAATCCTTCCACAAAACAACGTTGCAGTGTACGAACAAAATCCGGCAGCTCTGACTAGTTCCCTGTAGAATGTTGAAATAAGAATCAAAATCACAGCACTCTGGACACTCCCATAGGTGCTCCATCCCCATTTTCAGCAACAAGCGAAGAGTTCCAATTCCGATGGAACCAGTAACTGTCTGATTGTATATCCCTCTCATCCTTTCCCTGAGTGTTCAGCGTCGGCCAGATCCCCTGGTAACTCCTTGAAGTGCCATTCTCCTCCAACCGTAATTATTTATCTGTGCCTGCGCACTGTTCATTCGCTCCCAAAAGGCCCTCACAACATCTAGCTTGTCATATATCAGTTCCACCAGCCAGTCTATCTGCCTGCTCATCTCCTAACTACCCGGGACCTCTGAAGCGATGCTTGCCACTCTGCATTTTCGACTATTACACCAACCCACTCACGGCCTCATGAGAGAGACTAAAACTGCTGGACTTGCTTGCATCTTTGATATTGTACAGGATATTGCGTAGAGAAAAAAAAACTAGGAGCCCTATATATGACGTATAACGGCACCCCAGGAAAATTAATGAATGCCCCCTGCCCTGAGTGGCTGGAACTCTGGCAGACATTTGTCTCTGGCGAGTTCATCGTTTGAAATCGACAACGTGGCTAATATTATGCGTGCAGTAAACAGTTTAAGTTTTCAAGCATGAAGATTCCTCCCCTGAACTATGAAAGACAACAGGGCACATCACACAACAACACATCAAGGTAGCACTTGGTGAAATAATGGCCTGCCCTAATACTAACTCCCAGAAGGCCAAACAGGGTATTTGAAACTTGTTCCTGTTTTGAGATCTGGATTGCTGTGGTGTCAAACCAGTATTTTTGGTACACTGTTGACAATTTACTTCTTTTCAAATGTTCATTTGCCTGCCTACTAAAGTTTATTTAGTTAAATCTGCGGGCTGCTATGTTGTTTATTCTCTGGTGAGGGAGCGGCTCATTAGGCGGTGGTTGGTATTTTGCAGGTTGCTGCAAGAACAAAACTGTTACTGCATCAAGTTTCCTCATATTGTATATTCACTAATAAGGGCTCATTTCTGGTATCAGATTGTAAGTTAGTTTAACTGTTTTTGCAGTTAGCCTAGTTGATGAAAATGTTACTCTTACGTCATGGATACAAAATATCAAAGATATGGCTAACTTTTGTTTTGTTTTAAGACATAGGTTCTAAATGTAAGTACCAGTTTGTGCACATAAGTGCAGACCTGATAAAGAGAATTAACCCAAAATATGGTTCTTCTTATCAGAAATTCCTCGTATCCAAATAAGAATTCAAGCAATAAAAATTGCAAGGGATACACAACAGAAATTAGCCGTATTCAAGATTACTGCGAGCGGTCTGCATACACACACACAAATATATATTTGTCGCAAACTGTGACAAAAAGACTGGAAAACTTCTTTAAACACTAAAGAATGGAAAAGAACATCGTGGGAATATCTGTAGTGAAGTGCCGTCGTTTCCTGAATCAGTCGAAACTGGACATATGAAAGATGTTTTAACCAGGTGATATCTAAAAAGCTGAAGCCAAAACAGCATCTATAAGAGGAGTTATATTTCATGCAAAATATTGAGTCAGAAAGAAAACTGTAAAGAGTTATTTATACGCAGTCATCTCTCACTCATAGAAGTTTACTGTAAATAATTAAACAGGTTCTTCTTCTTTTGTCCGTCATCTTCCAATAATTTCAGGTCCTCTACATCGTTTTCACCACACTCTCTAGTTCACCTTTTTTAAAAGACATCTTTATTACCCTTTTTATCTGCCTCTAGTATTCTCATCACTCATCTTTAAAATCAAATGATGAGAACATTATGGACAGAAAAAAATATTAATAAAGATGCTCTTTTAAAACAATCTCCTTTTATAAGAAATTTCTGGACAGTTTTAATTTTAAAATCTGTTTGCTATTTTCACCATCTTTCAAGCAGAATCTTAAAAAATGTGAGTTCTCGTTCCAGTGGAGTTTACTGCATATATATCTGTAGCTGTTATCATCAAATGCATTGCCAATCAACATGGGTTATCATGCTTTTTAACATCCTACAATATATCAGTTCATGTGCTGACAGATTTCTGTGCCAAGATAAAAGGATGTCAAGAATATTATATTTCATTGTCTTCCTCTATTTCTTCTTTCAATAACTATTTCCCGCTGTCACAAAATGTTTCAGTTGTTTTCTTACAATGTCTAACACTAAAATCATGAGACTTGTTTTACTGTGGCCAAAACAAAATGCTATTCATGAAGCAAAGCATGTCACCAAAATAGGCATCATTCACCTGTGTTCTGGCAAAAATGTTTATGCCACAGATCACAAGTAACCCACCATTTTGTTTAGCTATTGAAAGCTGTGTGGGTTACATATGCAGCAGGAAGCTAAGGGCAAACATTATTTTATTTCATACTCATAAAAGTGTTTATGAGACAGTTGGATTAATAAGATAAGTTTATGAGGATGAACATCTACCTTGTGCATGAGGTGATATTCACGATTCAAAAACTGGTGTGGAAAATAGCTACTGCTATTCTCTTGGATACATTTTACACCTGATATGACACCCATTTCATACTCATAATCAGTTATTTTAAATACATTCTTTTATAAAATTGTAGTATGCTGGCAGTTGCAATTTTAATCTTTTCAGGACGTCAGAAAATAAAAACTAACACACAATCTCTAAGACTACAAAATTACATTGCTAAACAGCAACCAATGGCAGACAAAGAGATTATTCACTAGAAAGATCTAAACAGGCTTTGCTGGCAGTACTTAACAATCATGTGTGGCTAGATGATAAATACACATTCTTATACTCTCCTCACGTGGGATCCAGGGCCACACTGTGGGGGAATAATAATAGTCCACCCCCCTCTCCCCCAGCATGTCGTTAAAGTACATATCTAGACTAATTAAGAGTGCATGTGCTTAAGAGGTAAAGAATCAATAAGTTTAGAGCCAGTGAACACTAGACAAAAAAAAAAAAAAAGCCTATTTATTGGAAAGATTTAAACAGGCTTTGACTGTAATTACTGTACTATCCGTAATGAATAGACAGATGACATAATACACATTCAACATGCTCAGATCAATAACATCTGATGGAAACTATCTTGTAGGGATTCGAAAAAGAAAAGCCATTGAAAAACATATGCACTAATGAAAAAACATTTAATTACAGTAAGAATTAGTGTTAAAGTGATATATAAAACCTGTATTCTCTTTTTCATGCAAAACATGAACAATACTAGACAAGCTGAGACTATTTCTAACCCCACTGAATATGTTTTCCAGAAAAATGTAAAGGAAACCACTGGATCGGCAGAAAAATATTTGGTGTACAAACACCTAAAAAAAAATGATTAAACTGGTTACAGAAATAGATGTAGTCACTGAATTTCAACTGGAAGTTTTGATGGGAAAAAAGCAAAGGAAAGATAGACAAATATTTTGATAGTCTGACATAATAGCATAAAGAGGAAAAGAACACAAATCTGATCCAAGTAATCGTGTCAGTTGATAAATCACAATGGCACATTTTTGTCTTCCAGACGATAGTGTTATATTATGCTAAGGGAAGGTTTAGAGACTAGGATTTCAGGACCATTGTTGCCTTCACATGTATATAGTGGGCTTTCTCTCCTATGCTCAGCTCTCAACCTATAATAATCTTTTCTTCCTTTATTCCTATTCCCTTTCTGATTTTTCCCCTTGACATTTTGTTCTCACGAATTTACCTCGACACCTGTATCATCCATGTCCCACTTGTATTCTCATCCATACTTCAGACAGTTAACCACAGCTTTGGATGTGTTATTTCTCACGACTTCACAGTTAACCCAGCTATAACCTCAGCTTTGCAATGTGTTATTTCTCACAACTTCAGACAGTTAACCACAGCTTCGCATGTGTTATTTCTCATAGACTTCAGATAGTTAACCACAGCAGTGTCGTATTGTTATTTCTCACAACTTCAGATAATTAACCACAGCTTCGCATGTGTTATTTCTCACAACTTCAGACAGTTAACCACAGCTTCGTATGTGTTATTTCTCACAACTTCAGATCATTAACCACAGCTTCGCATGTGTTATTTCTCACGACTTCAGACAGTTAACCACAGCTTTGGATGTGTTATTTCTCACGACTTCAGACAGTTAACCACAGCTTTGGATGTGTTATTTCTCACGACTTCAGACAGTTAACCACAGCTTTGGATGTGTTATTTCTCACAACTTCAGATAGTTAACCACAGCTTCGCATGTGTTATTTCTCATGACTTCAGACAGTTAACCACAGCTTCGCATGTGTTATTTCTCACGACTTCAGACAGTTAACCACAGCTTTGGATGTGTTATTTCTCACAACTTCAGATAGTTAACCACAGCTTCGCATGTGTTATTTCTCATGACTTCAGACAGTTAACCACAGCTTCGCATGTGTTATTTCTCACAACTTCAGATAATTAACCACAGCTTCGCATGTGTTATTTCTCACAACTTCAGACAGTTAACCACAGCTTCGTATGTGTTATTTCTCACAACTTCAGATCATTAACCACAGCTTCGCATGTGTTATTTCTCACAACTTCAGATAGTTAACCACAGCTTTGGATGTGTTATTTCTCACGATTTCAGACAGTTAACCACAGCTTCGTATGTGTTATTCCTCACAACTTTAAACAGATATCTTCAGCTTCGGATGTATTATTTCTAAAAATCTTCATTCTCAGTTTTGAACAGACAGAATCATTGCCATGAACCAGCTGTGACTTCAGATACAGTACATATTATCACAGTAGTTGACTTGTTTACCAGGCTTAGTCAAACAAAGTTCAACAGCAGCTGTTACAGTTTAATGGAAAACGATGCACCACACGAACATCCCTGCTCTGCCTGTCGATTGTCTAAGATTCTAAAAGAAGACCTGATCAGTTCTTGGTAGTAGTCAATAGTTGATCCTTTTACTAATTCCAAAGAGTCTTTATCAATGATGACTTTGACTCCATCTCTCTCAAATATTCTGCAGACAGAGGAAGAGGAATGCTATACAAATATTAATCAAGCTCAAACTGTATTTTCTAAAGTTATCAGTAGCCTTGAGATGTAGAGATACAGAAGAATATGGCATATTCTATGTAAACAAAAAACAATCACAATTAAATGGAGAGGCTCTATGGAATGAAAAGAAAGGTAAGGAAATAAATGAAAAAAGACAAAATATTTTAGCCACATTAAAAGTCAAGGTACAAGTATAACAATCAAACTGGAGGGAAAAGCTGAAATCAGGCAAGCAAAATGAAGACAGTGATACAAATGGAGAAAAAAAAACATCAAGAGATGTATGGACAGCAATCTTTCAGTCTACAGCAAAAGAGAAAGGATTGTTGTCGATGTTCTTAATGTAATAAAGGTTGTGCGTGTTCCATATACCCTAAAAAGCTTATTGGTGACAGAATAACTGAAAGTGTTGCAAAAATGTATTTGTTGTGTTTATTCTTGCATGAGTCATTAAAAAAACATGTGTGCTTAAGTTCTTCACCAGTCCCCAATATTTAGCCTCAAAGGGTGTCACCTTCCCACTTCTGTCTGGCAAAACTAGAAAGTCTTTTAAGACATTCTCTGAATTTGTTTTAGTCTTAGAGATGTGCATGTGACAGAGTCAGTGGAACCCTTTTGGTGAAAGTGTGCTCTGAGTTTAGTGTCCGGTTCTGAGTATGAACATTCTGGTCTGCAAACAAAAAGGCACAAAAATGCTAACCTTTAGGCAAGGCCAACCTAGCAAAAATGCTACTGAATTGATTCAGTAGAAAGCAAACATAACTAAACAGTGTAAAATTATTAAATTAATTATGATGTCAAATGAATACATTCGACTGACCTGTCCTCTTCTTCAATCTTGGAGTCAAGCTCGAATTTGTACTGGAAACCAGAACAACCACCTCCTTCAACAAAGATGCGTAAATGAGAGTCACCATTTGCTCCTATTTCTTTTAGTCTCTGGTGGGATCAGATCATATTAGCTGAGTTAGCCAAGATTGGTCACTTAAGATATTCATGGCTAAAGAAATAAATTAATATGGAACACCAATGGAAAAACAAAGTTACTGAAGTTCAAATGTTATGTTATCACAATCAATGTTAATGCACATTGAGAATGCCCATCTGTGCTTAGCCCTCCATTGCAGCAGCCAACCCAACCTCGACTGACTGTTCACAAGGTTGGCTATAATGTCTCCTATCTTGACCTCGTAGATGGCACTGACATGCTTCATTCTGAGTTCACGCAATCGTATCAACGTAAGAGATTCATTCTATCTGCCAATCTAGCCCATACAGAGCTGATATCTGCTCTGTCCATGCATCTTCCTAGATGCAGTGGTGCAATTCTTGCCATCTGATCCATTCCTTCAATACCTTTTACTCTGACCTACCCAGGTATGTATATACAGGTGACGGAGGTAAAGTGTGATATCCAAACGCTGTCTGCCCATTCAGAGTGCAGGCTGTTGCAATTTTCTAAAGATTCTTCATGGAATTTAATATGATCACTCATGTGTGGCTGCCTGGTCTACAGACCTCGCTAAGTGCTCTGGGAGCAGCTGTTATCTCCATGGTCATGCTTGCTGTAGCTGCACCCACTATCCTCTTTTATTGTTTTCCCCATCCTTTGAGCTGTTTACCCATGCCAGCCTTAACCCTCATTTCCAGAGACCCATCTGTGTAGATGATAATACCATCTGGGCAGGGATGTTGATCTATCAGTGAGTGCCCTTATCTGTACCTAAGGCGACAGAATCCTGGTTTCAGCAATACCCCCCGCCCCATGTGACAACCTTAAGCCCACTAATACAGACTGAGGTTTTGAGGCCCAAGTTTTTCATCACAATGACAATTGCCCTTTCATTAAGTGCTGTCATGGTTCAGGTGACCCATTATATTTTCAAAACATAGCTCTCATCCCAGCCTGCTAGAAAAAAAAAACTCAGTTTCTTGCTAGCTCTTCCGCCTTAGCCATTCTCATGCCCAAGGTATCTCTCATGTCCTGTGCCCATCTTTATGCTGGTTGAACCCTGCCCTCTGCTACAGGTCTCTTCAATCCCTGGTTGTGCTTGAAATATCCAAAGTATTTCAGTTTCTGTGTTCTGAGGTATGCAAGCAATAAAAGGCTAACCCCATTTCTGTACAGATCACCTGGCACTTGACGGCCGATATGGTCAAAATCTTGCCGGCAACATTTACTTCGAAATGTTTCCAATGATCTATTGTAAACTGGGTCAAATTGGAAGGCTTGGTCAATTTTATTTTATGAAAAATTCCCACCTTTAAAAGAAATTCATTCATTTCCACTGAAATTCCTGTCCTAACCGATAAAAAATATTGTATGTAAAATTGGATTTGCACAATCAAGGAGTTTGAATTTCCAGCCAAGTTGGAGGGTAATGCAAAGGATGACCAGCTGGCTGTGTTAATTGCTGGTATTGCCCACATTTGCCACTTCTGGTGGTGTAGTATTTTTTGTTTTAAAGGGGGCGGGGGGTCTGGATGTAGTGAGCCTGGCGATTAAAAGCTACATGGCTAATACTGTCAACATGACTTGTGCAGGTAAGGAATTTTATTTCTGTTACCAAAAAAAAAAATCTTCACTTCTTACAGAGGACTGAACCTGGGTCTACTGCACGAGAGCCCACAGCACTAGCCACTTGGCTAGCTGCTCCTCTGCTGGTGGTGTCAACCTATTTAACATGCTGAGATCCTTTTAAAACCACCTGACTGACTTGAGTTATGAGTTGGGTGATCTCAGATTTTCCCTTGAATATATACACAAGCATCCCATGGTTAACAGTGCCAGTCCTATGCTGGTGAGGCTAACTTACTTTGACGCACGAATCACTCAGTTTTAGGTCTTCATGACCAGCCTGGTCTACTGTTGGCGATGCTGAGGCTTTTGTTGCAAGTAATCTGTGTCTCATAAAGGAAACTGTAAGAGAACTCTGAACGCCCTCTTTAAAACTGCTACCACAGGCAGTTAGGTATGGGAGTGACCTAGACAGAAAGATACAGTATTTCAACGTTCATACTGTTCAAGTTTAAGTATTATGACAGAAATGTTGAATTAGAATTAACATCACAGCACTTGGGACACTCCCATAAGCGTTCCTTCCCCATCTTCAGCAGCAAGCAAAGAGTTCCAATTTCGACAATACTAGTGACTGTTTGACTGTATTTCTGTTCCCCATTCCCTTGAATCTTGAGCATCAGCCAGATCCCTTGGTAACTCCCTGCAGCGCCATTCTCATTAGACGCGTAATGATCTATTTATGCCTCTACACTGTTCACTCGCTCCCAAAGGGCCCTTATAACATCTAGCTTGTCAAACATCAATTCATCACCAAGTGGTGCAGAACCGGCCAATCTTTCTGACTGCTCATTTCCCAACAAACCCGTATTATAATAGGAAATTTTCAGCACCTGGGTACCTCCTGAATTTGCAATGCCACTGCCACTAATATCCTGTTTTCACCTTGATTTTCAATTTAGCTGCTGGGGATGTGGCAGCAGATGACTGTGTCTAGTTTGACAATTGTATGGAGAGCCGACCAATAAGTAAGCAATGGCAAACTACTGCATGAGTCAGATCTGCTAAAACAAAATCTGATGCACATGTAACACTCAGGTTCTGGAACATGACTGCAATCCAGAAGTGGATGAACAACCAGAACTTTTCGTCAGAGAAAGAAGAAGATTGAGTTTCTTGGTAGCAAAAGGTTAATGTTCTTCTAAGCCACCACAGCATTGACAGTTACCATCAAACACTGTGTTTTCAGACATGACAATATTTTTTAGTCCATGTTTTTTTCCAAATGTTCAGATATGGGGAACAGACAGAGGTATTAATATAATACAAAACACACAAGAAGCTTACATCACAACAACAGGAGATCTGTGATGGTTAAAACAAGGGAGGAAATTATATTTAATATCAGATTTATAATATTTAATTCTAAAATCAAATTAATACTGAATAATAGAGCTGAAACATACAGAATGATTAAGTAATTATTAATAAGCCAAACATATTCATTATTTGGTTCATGCGCAGAAGGAAAAAGGATGAGAGAATAACTTTATGCAATGATGAAGTCCGGAAAAGAAATAAACAATTTTCAGCTTCTTTTTCTTTGACCCTTCGGTCAAAACTGATACCAGCAGGAGGTTGCTAGCCTTGATGAAAGCTATTGTGCAGTTTGTATCTCCCCATGTACCATACAGCTTTATTTTCATTTGAGGTTGGAATAGGCCAGATTATGTCTCTGACAGCATCATACCATTTAAAGTGTTTAAGTACACGCACAACATTTTCGGGTGTTGAATTGCAGGGATATCTCTGTGTTTCCTACACTGAAAAACTTGGGTTCTCCTTAAAACTACGGCCACTTATTATGGAGTACGCCGGAGTTCAGTCCCCTGGCCGCATTGCAATTACGGAGTGGAAACGAAACAAATGACGTTCTTACTGTGTGTTGGCGATAGATGCACTGCTGTCATAATAGGGTTAGGGTATTGGTACTCCTTAAAACTACGGCCACTCCTAACCCTACCCCTAACGCTATTATGACAGCAGTGCATCTATCGCCAACACACAGTAATTACGTCATTTGTTTCGTTCCCTCTTTTCCACTCCGTAATTGCAATGCGGCCAGGGGACTGAACTTCGGCGTAATCCATAATAAGTGGCCGTAGTTTTAAGGAGAACCAGGAAGACAATGGAGTGAGCCTTGGGTATCCAGCCACCGTTTCTGGACACTTTTTAAATTAGCATCTCAATCTCTTGGTGGAGTCACCATTTGATTGCACCATGTGACTTTTACTTCTGGGCAGTCTGTATGCTCTTCTATTGTCTTTAAAGCCATAGTGACGTGGAATCCACCGCAGAACAGATTGTTTAAATAAATACCTTGTGCGAATCAGCCGTCGTACCTTCTTCTTCTTCTCTTCCACCTTGTACCTCATCGAAGTGTCGGGGTGAGATGTAATGACATGTTCGTTGATGAGCTATGTCAAGAGCACTATTAAGGCTCTATACTATACCCGTTGTAACGTTTCAGTGTGGCTCGCTGTGGCAAATAGTACCAGGACTATTGATACGTATGGTGAAAAAAATTCATTCGAGACAGATTATGACTTATTGACACTAAATGAAGGAATGAGTGGACCAGGAGCGTGATAATGATAAGGACATGGAATGGACGGTAAAGAAGCCGTAAGGTCGTCCGAGACCTCAAAAGTAAAACATACTATAAAAAAAATGACGTTCAAGAAGGCTGTGAACTTATACTCCAATACGGGATAGAGAAAAAGAAGAACATGCCACACATGTTGTCTACGATACCTATTTAACCGAGATAACTGGCGTACGGTCTGTCGACAGGCTGTCCTCAACATTGTTGTTGTTGTTTTATAAGTGTGAGTAAGGAACTTCCGGTCCTGTTAACCAGGGTCGGTCACCCTCAGGTTAATGTCACTGAGCGTTCTCTTTTCTTGGTGTTACATAGAGCAGCGTTTCTCAACTTTTTCACACACGACCACCAAAACAGGGACAACTATTTCGATGTCACAAAATAACATTTTTTTTTATTAAAATGATATCTGCTGTTTACAGGTTATAAAATCTTATATTTGCGGCTAGAGTATTAATTCTGATAGACATTGCTCTGCAATAATATTCATTCGATTTCGTTGTATTGGTTTGTGTAACTATCATGACTGAAGAAGCATTTTCGCACAAAAAGAAGTCGGGGGGGAAAAAAGCCAGCAATCTGATAACTCTACAACTCATATACGGATAGACTTCTGCGAGATATCCACAACTCAGACAGTCTCTGCATTTTAAATGTGGACACAAGAGAAACACCAGAAGTAAACTAGAACAATCTCCCCCCCCCCCCCCTTTCCACAATAATCAGTGCCAGCTAACGTCTGTAAATGTTGACTTGTTAAATTGAATATCAGTTGTTTGATTCTCATCCCTGATATGTTAATCCCACAGATTGAATTGAAACACGACAAGGTGGATGTGGTCAGAGCCCTTTCGGAACACGTAAGGAAGTCAGGAGAGAAACTAGGTAATTATGGGCTGGAGAGAATGATGCACCTGGGTCTGACCAGAGGGTTTGGCCGGCAGACTTCGCTCAGAGGAAAGGCAAGACGGACATACAACCAGACTACGACTGGCACCATTAGTGTTGGAACTTTGCACTGGCTGCTGGGGATGGGGATGGAGCGCGTATGGGAATGCCCTGAGTGCTGTGATGCCAATTCTTGACTCAACTCAACTCCTACATACTGCAGTCTCGGAAGAGAATAACTACCTACCCGACCCCGTTACATGATAAGGCAGACATTTTTGGCAACCCACCGGAACTTTTCCGTGGTTCAATTGTTGAAAAACACTGAGTTATGAGTTGGATTACCTTCACAGCACTCCGGACACATCCATAGGCGCTCAGATTCCCTTCTCAACATATTCATCAACCTCGCGCGATAACAAGACTTCGTGCGCGTCTGGTGTGCTTCTCATGCTTAGCTGCGCCGATGTTTACTCCCAATTCTCGTATTTTTTAGCAGTAATGTGGACACGTTGCTTCCAAAATCCTCAGAACGTCCTATGACTCTAAGGGCAAGGACATGCTCCATAGGCCGGCCATCTTCAATTAATGCAGCACCTGCCAGTCAATCAGTTCTTTGATTACTAATAACGCATAAAAACACCAACATTGCCGGTTAATGCAGAAGACGGGCGCCAAAGCGCAACAGTCCTGCAGGATTGGAAGGAGGCATCTACCACTGCCAATGCCGCCGCCGCCGCAAGCAAGCTTGACAAGGCCCTTAGGTATTTAAAACTCCGAGGTCCCTGCCATTTAAAAACACCAGGTAATCTTATAAAACTTTGAAATATGTAAATTGAAAGTTTAACAAAAAAGAGGGGCGGGTGTGGGGTGGGGGAAAAGGGGGAGGGGGGGGTGAGCCATATGAGACTAATTATTTTATTACATTTAAATAGGCTAAGCAAGTTACAGTAAATAAAAGCATAAGATATAAACGAAATAGTGAAAATAAAACTGGAAAATTTCTGGGGATTTTTCTCTCCACATATATTAACCGAAAATAGCAATTATGAAAAAAAAAAATCGGAATTATGTGAGGTCCCTAGAAAATGCGAGGCACTAAGCAGTAGCTTTATAAGCTTATGCAAATCCTGCAGTAGCGACTACTACCACCATTACTACTACTACTACTACTACTATACTACTACTACTACTACTACTACTACTACTACTACTACTACTACTACTACTACTACTACTACTACTGCTGCTGCTGCTGCTACTACTGCTACTACTACTGCTGCTGCTACTACCACTACTACTGCTGCTGCTACCATAATAAACAGAGCAAGAGGAACCCCAGGCAAAAATAGAGCTGTTGAGCTGATGTTGTCATTCAACTCATATCTTTGTTACAATTTTTTCAAACTAGCAAAGTGAAACGACAAAACCTAATCCATGCTGGTATGTGTGTGTGCGACGTATCTTTGAAGGATATGCTATTAATTTGTTAATATTATTAGGAAATGACAGTGTGTTGGGAAACGAGCTGCCAGATAGACTGGTCGGTTCTGACTCACTTAGTGGTGAATTGATGTATGGCAAGCTAAATGTTGTGAGGGTCCTTTGGGAGCGAGTGAACAGAGCGGAGGCACAAACAGATGATTGCGGTCTCATGAGAATGGCGCTGCAGGGAGTTACCAGGGGATCTCTGCAGAGACTAGCCAGCGGGTGCTACGGAGGTGGAAGTCCAACAGTTGATTCTCGACAATTCACGCACAGGAGATCTGATTATCTTATGCAGGCGGTTCGGTGTTGAGAGGAAAGAGAAATTCCTGGGGGTTCGTAGCGAAAGCCAATAAAAAATCATTAGGGCAAGACAGCTTAGCATATGACACAACAACATCTAGCATGAGAATGGAGGTGGGGGCGGTAACT